TAAGGTGCTGATGATGATGCTGTCTTGAATTGGGGCTAGCTTGGCTACACGGATGGAGAAAAAACTGGATGGACCTGAAGGATATTTAGGAGATAAAGTCATGAAGATTTAGTTTATTTGGTGTGGAAGCAAAAAAGGCAGTCAGAAATGATATGAAGGTGCAGCAGGGGCTACTGGGAAGACCAAGTTTGCAAAATACCTTGAGATCTTTTAAACCCATGAGATTGGAATTTCCTAGGAGAAATCTCAAGGGATTTTTCCAGTGGGTGTATTTGAGCCTGTTGCTCAAAAGAAAGGTCCAGGGTAGAAACTTAGGAAGTCAGGGCTATATTGATGGACTTGGAGCTGTGAGAATAAATGAGATCACCCAAGTCATGTTTATGCAAAGAGAAGAGAAATGTGGGAGGGGTGAGCATGGAAAACAAGTACAAAAGGCTATAATGCAAGAATATGATGTAATGCAGTGAGGAGATATAAACTGTGGGATTTTGAAGAAGGGAATAGACTTTGGTAAGAGAAAAGGAAAGTCATCTTCAAGTGAGATGATCAGTGAAGAATGATGGTTAATATTGAACAGTTGTGAAAGAGAATGATCCAGGCAGATGGAATAATACAAGCAGTTACATAGATGGAGAAAAGAAGAGCATAACTTTAGAGACTAATGAGTAATTTAGTTTGGGACAGAACAAGAAGATCAGTCAGGGCCATTTTACAAAAAACCTAATTCATTATAATATTAGAATACAGTGCAAGGTATTTGAATTAATGCCGTTAGCATACCTTGTAAAATGTCTGCCTTTTATTTATTTTATTAATCATAAGGCCACAGTTAATAGTTTGTAGATGTTTTTTATTAATGTATTTTTGCCTGAGGTTGTTAATTGAATACTCTTGAGATTCTTTTTGAAATCTGTTTCTTTTTTAAGAGAAATATTCAGATTGTATTTAAGGAAATGTATTAACACTGAAGTCACTTACCTGATTTCATTTATTATGTTTAAGTATGCATTAATTATTCAATTCTAGTGTTTAGAGTAAAAAGAGATGGTTGAAATAATGAAAAGAAATTTTTATTTTTTAAATCTAATTTTTACACCTTACAGTTTTATTTTTTATCGTATTTTTTATAGTGTTATATTAGTTTCAGGTGTACAATATAGTGATTCAGCACTTCCATACATCACTTGGTGCTCAGCATGACAAGTACACTCCTTAATCCCCATCACCTATTTAACCCATCTTCCTTACCCATCTCCCCTCTGGTAACCATCAGTTTGTTCTCTGTAGTTAAGAGTCTTTTTCTTGGTTTGTATTTTTCCCTTTGCTTGTTTGATTTCGCTCACATGTGGAATTTAAGAAACAAAACATATGGTATTTGTATTTCTCTGACTTACTTCACTTAGCATTGTACTCTCTAGCCCTATTCATGTTTTACAAATGGTGAGATTACATTCCTTTTTATGGTTGAGTAATAGATCTAGTATATATATATATGCCTCATCTTTAGCCATTCATTAACCGATGGACACTCGGGCTTCTTCTGTATCTTGGCTATTGTAAACAATGCTGCTGTAAGTGTAAACATTGTAAATAAATGTTTGAATTAGTGTTTTGTGTTCTTTGGGTAAATACCCAGTAATGTGATTGCTGGATCATAGGGTAGTTTTCTTTTTAACTTCTTGAGGAACTGCCATACTGTTTTCCAGAGTGGCTGCACCAGTTTGCATTCCCACCAACAAGTTTTCCTTTTTGTCTACATCCTCACCAACACCTGTTGGTTCTTATATTGTTGATTTTAGCCATTCTGATAGGTGTGAGGTGATATCTCATTATACTTTTGATTTGCATTTCCCTGATGGTAAGTGATGATGCCCATTTTTAAATTAGATTATTTATGTTTTTTGGGGGATGTTGAGTTTTGTATTTTCTTTATATACTTTGGATGCTAACCCTTTATTGGTTATGTCATTTGTAGATACCTTCTCCTATTCCATAGGTTGCCTTTTAGTTTTGTTGATTGTTTCCTCTGCTGTGCAGAAGCTTTTTATTTTGATGTAGTCCCAATAGTTTATTATTGCTTTTGTTTCCCTTGCCTCAGGAGACATATCTAGAAAAAAGTTGCTATGGCCAGTGTCGAAGAGGTTACTGCCTATGTTCTTCTCTAGAATTTTTATGGTTTCAGGTCTCACATTCAGGTCTTTAATCCATTTTGAATTTATTTTCATGTATGGTATAAGAAAGTGGTCCAGTTTCTTTCTTTTGCATGTTGCTGTCCAGTTTAATGAAAAGAAATTTTGGATATATTGTATCCAATACAGATTTGCCAGATTTCAAATATTAACCAAAAATTGAGGGTGAATAAATGGATAAACTTTTGTCTTTTCAAATTCTCTCTCTATATTTTTATTAGGATAAAGGGGCTTCTAGAGATATAAAGTTACTTTTGTATTACATACTAAGTGTGTAGTTGATTAGAATTTTAGACTTTTATTTATTTATTTATTTATTTTAAAGATTTTATTTATTTATTTGAGAGAGAACGAGCACGAGCAGGGGGAGAGGGGGAAGCAGACTCCCCTGCCAAGCAGGAAGCCCGATACGGGACTCGATCCCGGGACTCCGGGATCATGACCTGAGCCGAAGGCAGTCGCTTAACCAACTGAGCCACCCAGGCGCCCTAGAATTTTAGACTTTTAGATGAAAATACTTGTTTCATTAATGGAAGAATTAATTTCTTTTTTTTGCATAAATATAAAAGAGATTTTATTCTCATTTTTAATATCTGCAGAAGAATTGATGTTAAAAATATTAACAATTTATAGAGTTTAGAGCATAATGGAAGAATTAATTTCTAATGAGCATATGGTGAAGTTACAATAGAAAATTCAGTTCTTAAGTTTGGAGATTTTCTTTTACTGAATGACTGAATAATTAGCAATTTCGTTGTTTGTGTAGAACTCTTTACCTAGTCCTCTGGAAAAGTCAGAAACCTGCACTGTGTTCTTAAAGTTTATCAAGTAGTCAAGCAGCAAAAGATTTAAATTGGTTTGATATTCATCCTGGTTCTTTTCCATGGCTTTTCATTGAGCTATTTCTTATAATTTATCTCCTGGTCAACTAGGTTTCATTGTCAAGTAATTTTAAGAAAATATCATGTCCTTTATTCCCTAAGATACTTTATGCTTGAGCATATTAATCAGCTACTTTTATACTCTAAGGTCAGATTGATTTAATAAAATAATTGGATCATGCTTTTCCTCAAAAGTTTGTAGTAATTTAGTACCAAAGTAGTCCTTTTGTCACAGCTTCTATATTAATGATGTGTTTGGCTAGATTCCATTGAATAATTTATTTTGTGAAGGACTCATGGATACTGTATTGCCTGACTTCTTGCATGTTTAAATATCTATTTCTTTTATATTCAGAGGACATTTTGCTTTGTTTTAAAATTCTTGGGTCCCACTTAGAAATCTGTAAATTACTTCTTTGTCTTCTGGCACTGAGTATTCCTCATAGAACAGGGACGCTATCTGATTTCCTGCGTGTAAGTGAACTGCTCGTTTCTGCCGGAACACCTGCAGAATTTTTTTTCTTTATCTTGAAGTTCAATGACTTTATCTTTTGGATCATTCTGTATCATTTTTTCCTGGAACATGGTCTGTTATTTCAATCTGTTCTTCCTTCGTGTTAGGGAAAAATTCATACTATTATTACTTGAAATATTTTTCTGGCCAATTTTTGGGTTCTTTTCTATAGGATTAGCATTTTTTCAGTCTGTTCTTTATGCCTCTTTTCTCCATTAAAAAATGTATTTTTCTTCTTCCTCTGTATTCATTGGATGAATTAAACCTTTTTTTCCCCCTACATCAGTAAATTTTTAGCCATATCTCCTCATTTTTAGCCATGTTTCCTCATTCCATTGCTGTTTTTCTTTTATTTATTAGTACTAAATTGATAATTTTTTGGTCTTCAGTACATTTTGATTGCTCTGCAACACTTTAAAATTTTTTTCTATTGTTTTATCATTTAATCTTTGAGCCCCTGTTCACTAGTAATCATTTTTTGAAGTTCTCCCATTATGTGAAGCTTTTTGTTTTTAGGTTGTGTTTTCTTTAGGAATGAGAGTGTTTTTCCTTCCTTTGCATGCTTGTTTCCTTCCTTTCTTCTCTCTTTGCATTTTTTCCTTCTTTACTTTTATCCTGTGATGTGTTTATACGTTTTACTTCATCTTGGCCTGTGAGTAGATACTCTATTTGCTGGGATACAGTGTCATTTACTCTTTCTTCCCTTATTTCTTATTATAGGGGAGAACTAAGATTTTTCACTTGGTGTTTACATTTTAAGAATTAGTTATTGCCTGTTTCATTTTGCTATAATTCAAGGTGAGGAGTGGGAGGGGGCTCATTCTGGGGAAATGGAGGAGGGAAAGGGCTTGGCTGGATTATGTGCATGCTGTGTCAAAATGTTCTCCCCCTTTTTGGCCATACGTGGACAATGATGCCCTTTCAAAGGAGCACTCAGGTATAAAACCTCCTTACAAAGGCATGCAAACTATTTCTGCACCTTTCAGCTGAGTGGCATGGAGCTTCTCCTCAGGGAGCTTCCTGATATTTTGTTTCAGACTGTCACGTCCCTCTTTACACACATGAGCCCTGCTGCATAGATTTTAATATATTAAAGAACTGGAATTTTCTCCACAGGGTAATTATTTGAGATATTTAAGATTACTTTGGGGCCTGTAGGAGTATCCTCAGTGTTAAATAACAAGGCCATTTTCCATATTTTCTGGAGCAAACCCTATTCAGAAATACTAAGTGGGCTTTACATTGCTCCCTTACTTGTATGTTGCTAATGTTCCATTTCCTTTGTTGCTAACAGAGAAGCAACTTTCTATAAAGTACGTATCATTTTAAATGATCTCTCATTAGGCATCCAGATTTTCAGTCATTCTGGATGTTTAAATTTAAAATGATGAAGCATTTATAAAATCGGTACATTACCTGCATGAAATCAGGATGTCCAGGGCCTTGTAGAAACATACCCTTTACTTCACGGCATTTATCTCACAAAAGGGGAATGATTCTTTTCTGGTCCTGTTATAAATCCACTTCTCACATGGGTAAAACGTACACAATCGTCAGTGTACTCCTGGTGATTCATTAAGTCTTTAGGGTGCAGAAGGGCAGTGGTGGGTCACACCAGGGCAGGATTTTAGCCAGGAGTCTGTCACCTCGTATCGATCTACCAGTTACTGGTTTCATTTATGTTTGGAGTTGTTCTGCTGTAGCTGTGATTACTGTGAATTCCATCTGAGACATACAAGGTGATAAAAGTAAACTGAAATTTATAAAGTTTACGAAAACCTTCAAATCAACCTTGACGTCCAGTTTATTATGTTCTGTTTAAATGCTATTGGTGTATGCTTACTTCTACTGAGGTGATTCTTAAGGAAATTGTCAGTAATATGTCTCAAAGATTATCTGTGACTGAGGAACTACCATTTGTTCTAAATGATTATTATTAATCAATTGTGTTGATAATTTTATTGTTTGGAGTAATTCTAGGGAGTCAGACTTTGAAGACTATTTTAAAGACCTCCCATGATTCTTTAAAGGAACATTCACAATGAAAATGTGTCAGGCTGATGGGGGAAGTTTCATTTATTGTTAGTGTCTTTCTTTATCCTGATAAATCAAAACTCACAATGTTTGAACAGTCTTAAAATACTCATGCAATAATTATGTTATCTTTAACAGGTTGCTGTGATTTTATATACTCATGCATATTAAGTTTTCTTCCCTTCTTTTTCTCAAAGTAAAGTATTCCAGCATTCGAAGGTTTTCTTTGGCACTATAACTTAGCATTTATTTTCCTGAGTCTTTTTGTACAGTTCTCTTTGATTTAATAAACCTTTATTGATTGCATAACACCAGCAGTGATAGTGTTTGGCCAGTTTAGTTGTGCAACCAGGTGATTTGTGAGTGGAAAACAAACTAGCCAACAAGCAGAAGCTTTTAAAGCCCTTATCAATTCATGTAATAAAAAAAAAATGTCTTTCAACTCTCTTTATTCATAGTTCATATTACCATCATGAGTGTAGTATTTTCATTAGCATCAGTGGTTATACACAAGATCTACTGGAAAATTGGTAATGAAACCTGTCTAGCCACAGTTAATTAAGGAGTTTTCTTGTTTTGAGCCTCAGGAGAAATTTTCACCATGCGTTTCTTAAAATGTGGCCTTATGTCATCATGGAGGTGGAGCTAAACCGGAAAAGGGTGATGTAGCCCAGATAAATTATATATGCATTACATCGTTGCCTAAGAACAGGGGTCAATAGTTCTCCTGTCTGTTGGAGTATATCATTGTGCCTGCATTACATGTTGGCAGCTTATCAGAGGCTCTCTCTGACGTTTGGTCTCAGAGTTTATTTTGTTAAGGAAGTTCATGTATTTGGATTGCATTATGTCTCTCCCCCAAATTATTAACCTCAGTATAAAGCCCTCAAATGTGTTTGCGATTGATTGCTTTTTAAAAGATTCCGGCAAGTGAAGGGTTTAATTTATAATGCTTAACTCCTCGACTCCTTGTTTGATTGCGTTTCTTTTTTTTTTGCATCTATTTTTATTGATATATTACAAAATTTTAAAAACAGCCCAGTTTTTTATCCCTTGCCAAGTTCTGACAACTTTCTCATTTTGTGGTATTTATGTTTATAATTTTTTACCATTTGCAGTTGTTATAATTTAAATTTAACTTTGAAAACCCCTAACAACTCTTTTGTTTTTCAAGGGTGCTCTCCCAATTGCTATTAACATTTTTTTTTTGCAGCTTATGTAATTTTGTTTAATAAACATTGCCCGCCCTTCTGCTACTTCCAGCCCTTGATTTAACCCACTGAAAATGGGTACTTTTGACAGCATCTGTACTGGGAAATGCTTTCCAAATAAAACATTTGTTAGAACACACAAACGATTTATTTGGGTACATCTAAGAGCCTAAATATTTGATTCTGCTGCCAGTATGTGCCTTATTGGCTAATGTTCCTACAGTGTTTCCACATTTTTATAGGCTAGCGGCCAAGTTGTCCAACAGTTGGTACCTCTTGGGGAGTGGAAGTGGGTGTGTATATGAGGAGCTGGTATCATTATCATGCTCCTGTGTGCGTAGCCAGTTGGCATGTTAGAACTTGCAGGAGTTGACCCCTTCAACCTGGAAGCATATAGATACTAATGGGCTTCCTTAGTTTGTCCAAAGTGGCTTGAGAAAGCCCACTCTGATGCCCTGTGACAATGATCCAAGGAAATGAGAACTGTTAGGGCAACATATTTGGTCATGTTGGATCTAGGGTAATCAAGAAATTTAGTACAACTGAGATCTAAAATATCATTCTAGTGGTTGTACATTGTTGAAGGGATTAGAGGAGAGGTTAGAAGCTAATCTGGGACTTGTTTCCAGTGGTCTTCTGGAATGTAGGATATATTGAAGGGAATTGCAGTCAGCCCCTTGGCTTTTAACTCCTTTTTCTACTACTGTATCTTCATATGTTCGATTTAGTTTGGTCAGATAAATTTTCATTATTTGCAGTAGTTGTCTAGGATTGCTTTAGAATCTCTGAGAAGATAGGCTTTGTGTTCTGATCCTTCATGAAAAAATGAAAATTGAAAATAGTTGCCATAAGCAATAGGAAGACTTTTAAAAATTATACCTATATAATTATATTTCTAAGTATAAATATGTATTTTTTAAAGGATTTTATTTATTTATTTGACAGAGAAATGGTGAGAGAGGGAACACAAACAGAGGGAGCAGGAGAGGGAGAAGCAGGGAGCCTGATGCGGGGCTCGATCCCAGGACCCTGGGATCATGACCTGAGCCGAAGGCAGACGCCTAACGACCGAGCTACACAGGCGTCCCTGAGTATAAATATGTATTAATGTATTTCTGTATTAATCATATATTAATTATATTGTAGATAAAAGTTATGTATGATATACATCTTTTAATGTTTTATATATTATTTCTTCATTATTTATGTAATATAAATATAATAGGGAAGATATGTATAAAATAGGGAAAAAAGTCAACCTTATGTGTTTTATAGAAATATAATTCATTGCTGATATATATATAAATTGGAAGGGAAATTGCTGGCAGCTGGGAAACGGGGTATTTAATAGTCATTAAGAGATGATGACCTGAATTAAGGCTTTAGCAGTGGAAATAGCATGAGTGGTGTGGAGAGATATTTCAAAGTTGGCATCAAAACAACTTTGTCATTGATCATAGAGTGAAGAGAAACAAGGGGTGCTCCTAGATTTCTCATTTGGTACATGTTGATATCATTAACATGAGTAGAGAATAATGGAGAAGGGAAAAAAGTAGGTTTTTGAAATTATGAAGCGGGAAGAGAAATGAGTGAGTGAGGAGGCTTTATCAACTTTGAGACACTTTAACTTATAGAAAATTCCCATAGAGGTTATGATAGGGAATAGGGACCTAGAACTCAAGAGAGAGATGGGAGCTAGAGATGAATTATCTGTAGAGAGATGGAATTACAGCAGTGAGCGCGACTTGGATTTCTCAAGGAAGAATGTGTACAAGGGGGGAGAGATGCAGATGGAAGTGTGGCTTCTTCAGGCTCCTAAGAGTCATTCTGAATGTGCAATAGATGGAAATCATGCCTCAGGGACTCCAGAAAAAATACAAGAAGAGTAAATTCCCTTCCCTTAGAGTTTACAGAAATAGTCTCTACATTTGCACTTTATGTTTTGTTAAGTATTTTCACAAGACTGTCTTTTAGAAAACTTCCAATTCTGTCATCTAAACAAATATTTAATAAGGCAAAGAAAGTTTCAAGATTAGAGTACTCAAAGAGGATATGTTCTGCATGGAGCACTGGGTGTTATGCACAAACAATGAATCATGGAACACTACATCAAAAACTAATGATGTAATGTATGGTGATTAACATAACAATAAAAAAATTTTTAAAAAGATTAGAGTACTCATTTTGCAGTCAGTTTACTGACAGGCATAAGTGATGACATACACAGATTCTGTTCTTGGGGGGCCTGAGGTAGAGGCATATTGAATAATTATTTGCACTGAGAATATTTGGTAAAATAGAGGCATACAGAAGTATAGTAACATATCACCAGTAAAGTCTTAGCTATCCAGAGACCATAGCTGTCTGAGACCCCACCGACTATTGAGAGTTACACAGGTAAGACCTCTGAGAAGACAACTAGATGACACAAGACATGTTTACCTCACTTACATGAGAGTATGTTGCACACTCAAGTTTCTATATTACTTTCCATGCAAGTTTAGCTGACTCAGTTTTTTTTTTTTTTAAATATACTAAGATAAGAAACAGCAAATTTGTAATAAGCATTTTAACAAAGGACCTTAAGAATTATCTGGTTGAATTTTCCTCATCATATTTAGGCCCAAAGATGCCAAGTGACATGTTCAAGGTCATTTAGCTAGAATAATAACATAAATCAACTTGACTCTTGGTCCAGTGTTCTTTCTATTCCACCATAGGGCAGAAGGAGCATCTATAAAAAGAACATGACGGTATTGAGAAATAAAAGGCTGACAGACTATGAAATGCAGATACAAGAGCACAAGAAGCACAACAGTTTCAGGTTATGCAGTGTAGACACACTTCAGTGGGCCCTGAAGTTATCTCTGTGTGCAACATTGCAGAGTCTTTAAGGTTCATAATTATCGCCCTGAGTCATCAAGGAAACGTTAACTTATGTCCCTTTCTATGTAAAATATATTAGAAATATTTCCATCCCAAGTGGTTAGTACCTTTTCTTTTACATTTGAAGTTAAAAGAGATAAACCTTTAAAAAAAAGAGAGAAAGATAAACGCTTAGCCCTACAGAAAACTAAACTCTCCAGAATAAAAAAAACTAAACTCGCCAGAATACAGTATTCCAAGAAGGCTGTGTAAGTGAGACTTATTGATAAAGGGACAGACCTCTCTTGTGACATAGTTACTCTTTCATTCAAATGACCAGACTTAGATGCACAGAATAACTTGCTTTAAAAGTTGCATGATCTTATTTAGAATGGAAGCCTTCATCGTGCTTAGAAGAAGGAGTCGCCTGGGTCCGATACCATGCGTATAATGTTGATGGCTTAGGCCTCATCCTGAGGGGAAGGCATGAGAGCCTCAGGAGATTTTTTTTTTTTTCCTTCACTTGACTTTGCCTTAGAACTGGGTCCCTGAAAAACTCCCCTTCATATATTATCCACCTCATTCTTCTGTCTTTGAATGCCACCATATTTGAGTTCTGTAAGTATGTG